CCCTCACTCTCTCTTTAAAAAAAAAAAAGAATACATCATTGATTATACAATTTCAAAACTTTGCCAAGACATAAAGTTTCCTTAACCATAATTAGGGGTATAGAAAAATGTAACATCAATTTACATTTTTCTAGGATGTGACTTTTTAGTTATCAATCATTAATAAAATGCGTCACTAATTTACATTTTTTCAGATTTTCCCAAGATGTATTATTTTCTTATTAACTAATGCCAAACTGTGTAACTAGACTCTAAGTCTCCTAACCTATCATTAACCTTTAAGTTTTAAAGTACACCTGGACTTTTATTTCTAATCTAAAATTCCCATCTAAAAAAGATCCCTTAAATCTTATACTTAAAATATCCTAAAGTTTATAAACCATTCTTAAAACATATCAGAAACCCATATAACTAAAAACTTAAGAATTCTAAACCCAAGAACCTAAATAGAATAATACTTCTAACATTATTCGAAAAGTATCTTTTACAAAGCTACTTTAATTAATTCCTAAATTTATTCTCATAAAACTGGTCAAGCTGCTTTCTCAAAGAGTTTCTTTGTTTCTGAGTCAAGGTGCACTAGTTCTCATATCTTTATAATCTTTCTCAATAAAAAGTAAGTTCTAAACATCAGTCCACTTTCTGCCAATATTAAGTATGTTCATTATAAATCCCTATGTGAAATAAAAGAGGGTTTATAGAAATGAAAAGAATGTACCCTTATATGTCTTAACTTTCCTAAGTGTATAACATAACTTTCCTTAATCAAGAATGAAGCTACATATGGTGGGTTTCGTACAATGAGCATAATGATCAGGTTTTCTAAAAGACCAGAAACATGGGCTTGGGTTCTAGTTGATATAATCAATGTGGTGCCTAAAATTCTCATGACCTTTCAGAGAATGACTGTTGTCCATTATCAGTTTTGTCCTCAGTGTGCTGAGATAGTAGAGCAGCTTTCTACTTTGTCCTTGATATGCTGAGGGGTAATAGAACAGCCTTCAAGGCATAAACTACCTGGTATGTTCTAGCCATCTGAAATTTAATTTGGTTTGGCATTTAACATACTCATACCTCCTGTCAGGAACATGAACATGAAAATGAAAAGTCCCAATTACATAAAACAATGGTCTCGTGGTTTCGGTTTCCCACCAACCAGCACGGCTTTGCCAGCATTCATCCTCACTGTGACCTTGTGGAGACAGTGGGGGAGTGGCTTTGCCAGCACTTATTTTCACTGTGACCTTGTCAAGACAGTGAGAGGGGGATCGCCTTCACCACATGTCATTATGTAGCATTATTGACAATATTAATAGGATAACTGCCTGAGAAAATTGTTATGTTTAAGCTCCTGAAAATCCTCTTGTCCACTGCTTTCTTCACATCAAGCTTTGAGGGTTCTTTAGCTCCAATAGGTCGTATGCAGCCCAACCAATTAGCTAGATACATTCCCATTGTAATAAATCATTCCCTAGTAATCACCTCTGAATTTTTTTTCATAATAATAATGAAGGTTTTTCTTAGCTTCTTTGTTGATTTATAACACATAAAAAAGTACAAATCCCATGTGGACAGAGCAATAAATTAACACAATGAATCTGTGTACCCACTATCCAGACCAATAAATAAAACACTACTGACACCCAAGAAGCAGGCTATCACTCAAGGTTCTCTTCAAAAGGTAACCACGGTCTTGACACCTAACCTTATAAATTAGTATGTTTTTGAAATTTGTATTAAGCAAGTTAGCCATTCTTAGTTTTGGCTTCTTTTACTCCAAATTAGGTTTTGTGAAACTATTATGTATTATTGATGTAGCAATGTTTTTTAATTTTCA